CAGGTGCTGGGCCGGAGGCGGCGCCGCCACCCGGCGCTGTTACCGACCACGGCCCTGACGGGCGCCTTGGCCTCGGGGCGTCGCTAAACTGAGTAGGTGACTCGGAAACAGCAACAGAAGAGCAAATAGCAATGTTTCCAGGGACTTGACCAATGCTCTGAGTAAAACAGTCATTTTTTCCCCCCTTGTGGGTACGCGTCTCCGGCAAGCAGCATTTCCGCCTTCTCGGGGAAAGCGCTCGACAGGCTGCACGAGGACAAAGCGCTCGCGAAACATCCCGTCGGGGTAATCGCACATCAGCAGGAGGCCGAGGAGCTGACCTGATCGGCCCTTTCCGTCTGAGATGCTTGTTTGCATTATTCATCTTTATGGGGGAACGTGATTATGCAGCTGATGTAATGACTGTAAACTTAGAGCGGCAGTGCTTTGCAAACAAGATTTTATTAGAGCCATAAGAAAACTTCCCCAACTTGTGCAGCCGTCTTTAATAACAAAAATGAGCAATGCCTGTAAATAACCGGCATCGCTCCAGTCGGGCAGATGAGCTCTTCCGCGGCCCCACTGTATTTCACTGCTCAATTATCAGCATCAGAAAGTCCTGCGGGGGCCGGAGGGGACAGTTCAGACCTCTCTGCGGAAAGCGCTCTAAAGCGACGCTTGATGTAATGCCCGCGAGCCTGGCTCTTGGTATAAGAGGGTATCTCCTCCAGACTGACTTGTTTTTAACCTCCTTGGAGCAGCCCTGTGATAAATGAGTGCCATGCTGCTTCCTGGCAGCACAATCTCTGCAGAAGCAGAGGAAAATGTCACTTCAATGGAATAACTGTTTTGCAAAGTCATTTTGTAGCCTTCAGAGCGCCTTAACCACAGGTGCCAAACGGAGACCTAGGTGGTGGAGCCTTCGCGTGCCCCAGGCGACATCCTCACGGACCGAAGGGAGGCGGGCTGGCAAGCAGCCCTCCTGCACACCCCCAGCCAGCCCCCCCCCTCCCCGACAGCAGGAGAGGACCCTGGCTCGCACATGGTCATTGCCCAGGTGGAGGAATTTCACCAGCAGGATGGACTTGGACAGCCTGAGGACCAAGAGGGCCGTGCAGGCTGTGAAGAGGACCCCTGTGGCAAAGGGAGAGAGAGGAACAATTTGGAGAGCCTGACAACCAAATGATAACAGCTGTAGCACATCTCTGGGAAGAAAGGAGCTTTCGTAGCAAGCTGCTAGTATTTACTCATCTGCTTAATGAATTCAAGTTGAAACAGCTGCAGGGATGAGTCACATGTATTTTAACTCAGCGAGCAGCACACATTGAGCCCCTTGCTGCTCGGTGGGTATCAGGTATGACTTGGGTTAGCGGTTCACGCCAGGCTGCCTGCTGCTTGGGCACGAGGTGGGAGCGGAGCTGCGTCCCCAAGCCAGCAGCAGTCACTGACGAGCAGCGTACTGGCACAGCGCCTGGCAGCTCGCCTGCCACCTCGCCTGCCACGTTGGCTCTGAAGATGTTGTAGCCCACCAGCATGCTGGCCTTGAAGGTGATCCTTGGACTGCAGTCAGGAGGTAAGTAGAAGCTGCCCAGGTCCACTGCCATCAGGAAGATGCTGGGGCCCAGCACACTAACCACACAGAGCAAGGGGTGCTGTCGAATGACGGCCTGGGCAGAGGGGAGAGCTCGGGGGGCTGGGATGGGTCTGAATCTCACTTGCAGTGTAACATGCTGTTGGAGTCTGTAATTCAACCCAAAACCCAGGGTGAAAAAGCCTTTTCCTCGTTGGAAAGGGAGGTGCGGGGGTGGCATTGCAGCCCTGGCAACCTGAGCTGAGCTGGGCTGTCCTCAGCTGCGTGCTGCCCTGGGCAGAGCCTTACCCCCAAATCATCCGAACAGCAAAGAAGCCCCGATGCCTTTATATCCCCTAGCAAAGGGAAGAAAGCACTTTTGTTTCAGTCACGTTCCCCACTAGACACCCTTCAGGTGTTAGCAGTGTTATGTCACAATTTTGTTATCCATTAAAGGCAGGTAATAATAAGTACACAAAGGTATTTGGAGCCCATTGATGTTAACGAAGGAGATCTGTCTCATTGGGAGCAGGTGCAGCAGCTGCATGTCAGAGAGGCAATATTACCCAGGGTTAGGTGGAGATTGCAGACCCCACCAATATTTAATCTTGCATGACTGTCTTCATGGCACAGGCAAGAGCTTGGTGCCCAGATGCAGTTTGCAGTGAAGTTTGCTGCTTCCTCCTCCTTGTTTTTTGCTGCTGTAATTTCCTAATGGACAGGAAGGTGCTGACTTGGACCTCCCCTGGCTTCCCAGGGCGGCAGCACACATTTGTCTCTTTGTTTTGTTTCCCTTTGCCTCCCCTGAAGGTGACTGTTGCTGGAGGGTTGCTTAGGGTGCAACGAGGTGCCCAGGGCCAGGCCTGGCTGGTTTCTCAGCGAGGCAACAGGGAGCTGTGTTGGGTCTCTACAGGAAGGTGAGGGCAGCTTGCCTTGGTGCCACCACTGTGCATGGACTCGGGTGCAACCTTCTCATCAGTGGGACCCATTCCCAAAGGCAGGTTTGTAGCAGGAATCCTGGAAATGCTCGTTACTTTTATGTAGAAATTTAATGTCTATCTTTCTTGTATTTCCTACAAAAACTATTTTGCTGTGGCTTTGTTTTTTTAGAAGTTTTTCCAACCAGGAACCACAGTACTTTCAGTTGTGCTTAAAAAAAAAAATAATTCAAGCAAAATGAGTGTATTTTTCCCTTCCTTTTACAGAGGAAAATGAGAAAGATTTTGGGGAAATTGGAAAGGTTAAGTTGGGCTGAGAAGGCTGTTAGCTTTTGATTTAAAAAATTTGAACAGATTTTGCTGAGAAATCCCCTTTCTCTTTTTTCAGGTGTCCCGGGCAAGCCCGTGGTGCCCAGCCGAAGCTGCGGCCAGGGGGCCAAATGTTCTTCATTATTTCCTGCCGCTCTGGTAATGTGTCGCAAGCTGATATCTTTAAAATTAATGAAGTGTTTAAGCCTTAGTCAAGAAGCTCATCAAAACAACAGCCCGCTCTCCTCGCGGCGAGCACGGAGCAGCTCCTTGCCAGCCCCCTGCGCTCCGGGGAGAGGGTCCACGGGCTCAGCCTTAGGGCTGACTAGCTGCTAGGAAGGTGAGTCCCCAGGATAGCGAGTGTGGGACAGGCCTGGAGAGAGCAGTGGCATGCACTCATCACCTGGGAATTAACACCACCTCTGTGCCTGTGGGCGGAGGGGCTGTGAGCTGCTGCTGTGGCCAGTAGCTCCTGACTGTCCCAGTAGTGTTGATGTGGACATAGGGCAGCTCAGGAGCCTTCCTGATGTCCATGCTGGAAAGGACAGAGTTTTGCAGGAGCAGTGGGGCACAGAGGGGGCTAGATCATCACAGAGGAGGCACAGGCACAATTACAAGGAAGGCAGGGGCCAAGATTCCTAAAGGAAGGATGAATTTTTGGATGCCTCCTTTTTCAGGTGTTCGTTCAACTTGAGCAAGAGCTAGCTGAGCCTGAAGCCTTCGTATTGTGGGGGCAGGTTCTGCATCAGAGTGGAAAGGAAGGCTTTCAACTGCTCCTGTTTAAACATAGGAAGCCAATTCTTGCAAGGAAATGACAAACCTAATGGCAAACTTGCAAATCATTGACGATATCTGGAGCCCAGATAACGTTGAGCTGCAGTGAAATCTCCTTCATCTTGTCACAGAGGCTGAAATCCCAGGTGAGAAATTCATCCTTCTGGATCTGTGGGCAGAAGAATATTCAAGTTCATGTGTGTGACTGTTTTCCCCAATTATGTTATGACTGGAGTAGAGTCTTTTGAGGGACACTTTCGTTTTCTGTGCTCAGGGAGAGGGATGCAGTCTTGCCTCACTAGGAGCATGCCAGCAGCTTCTTTTGGCTCGCAGCTGCAGACCAGAGGCATGGGCTAGCGGCGCATGCTGCTCTGCCTTCCACAGGACGCAGCGCAACTGCCCTGCTCTGAGCCTTTGAGTCTCCTCTGTCTCGAGGCTATTATCCAACCCCGAAAGAAAGCCATCCCCAAGGTGGTTACGGTAGGTGCTACTGAGTGGTTAAATTCTCCCTTTGGTTCTGCCACAAGCAAGAAGTATTTGTTTACCTGCTGAAGCCAAATGCTTGTTGTTAGCTTTTGGTTGTGTGCATCCTGCAAGAGAAAAATAGAAACAAGCTTTTCTACAATGCATGTGACTCTCTTGATAAGAGAGGGACAACAATTTTTAACAATTCAGTATCTCTATATGCTACTGCCTTCTGCTTTTAAACATAACTCTTAAGGTGGTTCTGACAGGTTAAATTAGTAACATTTCCGTTTCTTAAGTGTAAGTTCTTGGTATCTGTTGAAATTCCCTAGACTTTGTTGTCTTAGTACTAATAAGCACTTTTTGGATTTTTTGCATGTTATTGCTTGCTCCCTCTCCTTTCCATAAAACTGGGCAAATTCTGCAGTCACTTTACTTGTAATACTTACTACTCTGAAGAGTCATATTGGCTTAAAGGGGATTACATGCTTCTAGAAATGGTATCTTGCTAGCAGGCATTAACAAGCATGGCATCCTGGGGCACTTCCAGAGGTGAGACAGCGGTGGCAGCAGCAGGGATGCCCAGGGTGCTCTGACCGCCCCAAGCAGGGGCTCGGCAGCATGGGTGCAAATTGGCTGCTTCCTTTCAGTTAAAAAAGGCTCGTGCATGGGAGGATCTTGGGGTTTGTAATGTGAGAAGGGGGGCTAGGGCAGGTCTTCAGCTCCCACTTACTGTTCATCTGAGAGCGTATGATCCTTGCCACAGTAAATTGCCTTTGATGTAATGGCATTTTGACTGTACTTGACACTGCAAACGAATCACCAGTATCTGTCTTGCTGGTAATTAGTTACTGTGACATTAATCAGGCTGCTAAACATAATACATACGCTCAGCAAACTCTGGGCTAAAAATATGAGGCTGAGTTTATATTTGTAATCAGGATATTAATAATTTTTCAGAGGGAGTTGTCTCAGCTGCTTTAGGCAGATACTTGTGTTAAATCTCCATGCATATAGATTTTCCTGCTCATAAAACACAGTAAGTGACCTCAAGCTAGGTGTATTTTTTTTTCCTGTGACATGACATTCCCTGCCTTTTCAATGATGGGGTTTCTCCTTCTCCCTTTACTTTGTCTTATTACAGGACCGGCAGTGCCCTGATCACATCAGCCCAGTCCCAAAGATGCACAGTGCTGGGCTCCCTTCTTGCCAGTAATTTAAACACATCCGTGTTGCAAGTCTTGTAAATACCTTTGGTGGAGTACTGGTGTGCTTTCAGTTAAGCATATGCCTAAGTGCTGGTTGGTCTGAAGCTCTGCTCGCTCTCGAAGCGAAAGGGTAGGAACATGTTGCCTTTCTCCCTGGAAAATGTGGCATAAAAGACCTGTGGAGACAGTGAAGGGGGGAACCTTCAGGAAACCTTCCAGATCCTGGGAGTTCATACAGGGATTTGCCATGAAAGCAGAAGTCTGTCTGTGCCAAAGTTTTTTGGCTTGCTGAGAACAGCTGTTTGCATGGTGCCCTCTAAGGGGAGCCCTGTACCAATATCCCAGACTGGGCTCAGCGCGCTCCAGCAGAGGAATGATGAGACAAGCTCCCTGCTTTTTCAGTCTGACCTTTCTGCTGGGGAAATATTGGTAGTACTAGCTAAATATCCAAGAATTGCCTCCTGACCTGCCCTGTCATGTGGAGGAAGGTTCCTTTGGACCTGGATCTGCAAAAAGGGAATTCAGAGGAGATGAATGGTAGCTCAGGGAAGATGTTCTCCTTTTGGCTCCCCTACAAGCAAGTGCAGTAACGGTAAAATGCAGAATCCTGACACACTTGGTTCAGACCTTTTAAGGTGGAGGCTCTGCTTTGCATTAGCTCTCCTGAGCAGACTCAACTGGCAGGAGAAACAGCCAGGGCTGGATTTTGGAACCCAAATTTTGTCAAAACCATTCCCAAGTTGATACCTTTTTGTTATTTCCTTCTAACAGCACCTCATTGCTGTTGCCTGATCTTTTCTGTTTGCTTGGCTTCTTCTTTCATCTGAAGGCAGAGGACCTACTGGTCCATGGCGGCAGGGTTTGCCAGAAGGTCAGGGTGAAGGAGAAACTGCTCGCTCCTGGTCTCTTTTAGCTCTTTCAACACTTTCTCACCTGCCTGTGCTGCTTCTCCTGTACCACCGCTCTCCTCATTGCTACCCAATTCTCGTGCGCTGTCCCAGTGCAAAGCACTGTGCTGGTCCAGAGGAGCCTTGCAAGGACCATGGCTATCCTGGCAGCTCCCTGGTGAATGCAACAGGGCTGCAGCTAAAACTAGAGTCTTTTCTTATCAAGTTAAACAACAAGTTTCTCAATGCCAGCTGGCTGGCATAATTGGTTCTCTGGTGGCATTATTCACAGCTCTTTCCTCTTTCAGATACCTTCCATCTTGCTTGTTAAAAGCACAGGATATTTTGGAGAATTGGAATTCATTAGTCTTCCTAACAGAGGGAGCCTACTTAGACCTAAATTGGTGGTTAGCAAATGTACAGATAATTCCCCCACATTCTTATTTATCTTCTCCAGTTCGGCAGAGTATAGAAACAGATGCCTCGGCGTCTGTCTGGGAGGCTCTAGTCAATGGAGTGGAATACAAAGGTATCTGGGATTCGGAATTGGCAAAACTCAATATAAGCAAATTGGAACTCTTCTCCGTTGACTAGATTACCTCCCTAATCAGATTTCCCCAAGGTCCTCCTAATAACTTGATATTCTCAGACAAGACTAGTCTTTTATGTACGTGAAACAGGAGGCAAAAGATCACAATAGAAGTTGGAGGCGGTGATGAAGACAGGCCAATAGCTCTTCATGCAAAACAATGGTTGCTAAATGCTCGTCTATTAGTGCCCGCACCTGCCGATGGCTCTGCTACATTGAGGCTTTTAAAGCCTCTGGATTCTTGATGACATTGGCTCTGGAGCCAAATCTCTGCTTAGATGTACCAGTAGCACCGGTATGGATCTTCTGAATGTGCATTCATTACAGCCAAAGATGTAGAGAAGACCCTAAATTGGGAGGGGAAATAAATTTCCTCTTCCCTATCCTGGCTTAGGGTAGTTATTTTACCGGATCCTGCTAGCTTACAGCTAATGATGTGGAGATGGTGGCTGCAAGCCCAGCAGCTCTGCTCATGTACATAGCCTGCCTCTTTCAGCTTGGTGTTTACAAGGGACTTGCTACAGCTAAAGCAAGCAATATCCTCTCTGAGCCCCTTCCTAAACTCTTTTATTTTTGTAACAAAATGGCATCTTCCAAATCTGCTCTCTGTTCTCCCCACAGTGCTGATGGATGGCTGGCAGTGGAAGGAAACCGATTCTGGTCTGCTAGACACCTGTGGGAAACATTCACTTGATCTACACCCAAACTTTGCATCTTCAGATGCCCTGAAATGCAATTTCAGTTCATCAGTAAGGAGGAATTAAAGATCTGCAATACAAGAGGTAATCACAGCGCTTGCAGTTATTCACTAATTCATGTAGCGTATTTCCTGTAATTAATACCATGCCCACACAGTGCCTATGTTAATATACTTGCCAGCACCTCAAGATTATATTTCAGTGGTTTTTAGAATAGCAAAGCAGGTCAAGTAAGCTGAGACGGAGGAAGCTAGAACGGCACAGACCTTCCAACTGTGCTTAAAGGGATGCTGCCAAAATTGAAACTAATAACAGCACTAGATAGGAAGGCGATATTATTAGTCTGGTAGACTCTTGACACTGGCAGAATTATTTTATGTTGTATTTAAACTTTGCTGGCTATTTCAGTTTTTTCTTTGCATATGAGGCAAATGGGATAATGTGTACTGGGTTGTTCAGTTGCACTGTGTTTAGCAGCTCTGCTAAGCCTTCCTCCTCACCCCCTTGCCTCCCAAATGCCTGAACAAAAAAGCTTTCACTGAAGTACAGAGGAAGCTGTGAGGATGCAATCTTCAAAGTCCTGTAAGGAGATCGGCATCCAAGCTGCCATCTGACTCGAAGCCTCAGCCCTTTGGGCAATACAAGTCCAAATTCCTTCCAATCTGCTAACTGAAATAGAGAAGATATATAATTTACTGAACATACACCTTGTAATCTCCTTTCAAATACACATTATAATTTTTGCCTGCTTATTTTCAGTCTAAGCTAAACTGATCCTTGAAAAGGCCATCTGGAGCCAGTCCTGGTCCAGCAGGTGACAGCATGTTGTGAGCAGCAGAAGCTCGAGAGCAGCTGTGCGGGGAGGCTGTGATCACCATATCCAGCACCGTGTGCACGCAGAGGTCCAGGTACACAGTGGTGGCCTCTGTCCAGTCCTTGATGGGTCTCACTCCTCTGTGGTAATGCTGCAGAAGATGCCAGGTCAGGTGATGGGAAGTGGAGTATCATGCCACAGAGCATCTGCAGTGGAGTTTCCTGAAACGCAAATAGGCACCTGCCACTAGATTTAGTGGCGGAAAGGTGTCAACCATTGCCTGGGGGGGGGGGGGGGTGTTAACCTTCATGTGCCATGGGCCTCAGTAAATGAATTAGACCAGGAAATTGCATTTGGTCTAGAAATTAGCAGACAGAAATCACTATGGCCTAGGAAGTTAATGATGTTTCATCTAACCCTTTAACTCTAAAATGCCAGAGACCCTTCCTCAGGGGCAAGGAGAACCACTCGGGGAGCATCTGGCTTCAGCACTTGATGCTGAGCTCCAGTGCTCTGTGCAAAGCCGGTACGGTGGAGGAGAAATGAAGACCAGCAATTGTAAGTGACATATTTCTAAGTGCTCCTCCTGAGATGCAAAAAGATATTTTGCTCACAAGCTTTGCCAGCCCTTGGGGAGCTCAGCCTCACCAAGTCATTGGGCTGAAGCAAATTGCCAATGCGTGTGAGCAAAATCTAATCTGCAGTGTCCTGCGCGTGCATGCGTCTGAGTGCTCAGAGCTTTTGATGGCTGTTTTGATGAGCTGCTGAAAGTATGAGATCCAGCAGGAAACTGCAAATGAGATCTCCTCTCCCAGTGCACCAGGCCTGCTCATACCCATTCCTTTATGAGCGATACGGTGTCACTTGCTGCCACGGGCAGCCGTTCTATGATTTATCAATGTCACCGTGACCAAAATGCTGAGAATTGTGCTGGAGGCACAATTCCAGCCCTGGACTGTGCTGAGGAATGGTCACCTTCGATTCATCAGAGCCGCGAGCCAGGTGAGTGTTTGGCTCTGGGCAGCAGCTTCTTCCACAGCCACGTTCTCTAAAGGTGGTTTTCTGAAAACTGCACTCAGACATATGTAACATCTCACCTTTGCTGCCTTCCCAGCAGGGCCAGCCTAGTCAAGTAGGCAGGTACAGTATGACCTGTTTCCATTGAGATCACACACAAATCATGTGTTAGACTGCATTTACCCCTGAATACTTTCTGCTCTTTTTGTCAGTATTGGTTACTTGAGCACTGCTGTTTCATTTTCTGTCTCATCAGTCTTGCCTGAATCTTGCTCATGTCTTGGCTCCAGCTCCATTCAGAGGCAACAAGTTCTCTAGTTTAATCACACAGTTGATGTTTTTGGAAAAAAGCATTTTCTTTTTGAGGCAAAACAAGATTGGCTTGCAAGTCGGGGGTGAGGGGGGAGCAGGGACTCGAAGTAAAAATTGAGAGTATTTGGGCTTTCTGCTAAACACAGGGAAATAAATTAATCTTGGATAAAAGTTAGATTAACAGAATGGATATGTGGTTCAGTGGCTGGTACTTAACAGTAAATTATGACGTGGAAAACTAACATGACAGCCATGCAATCGCTAGATGGTCTCAGCAGGCAGAGGCAGAATGCCTTGGGGCAGCCTGAGGAGCGAGGCAGTAGGAGCAGCCATGTCCAGCCTGGCTTTGGTGGGGGGGGGGGGGG